CATTATGTCTGGGAAGTTTTCCTCTAGTAATTCTTCCACAACTTTTTCAGTGCCTTTACTTGCTTCTTCCTTTTCTGGGATTCCAATGATGCGCATTGAAAAACCTTTTCTTATTGTACTGCTTTCCTCTTCTCTTTGACTACTTGATTTGGATAAAGTTAGTCAGTAACCCTGGAGATTGTCCTGCTGTTGGATTTTTATCTCTGCCCACACGTTGTGTCATTTGCTTAATCCTTTTATTTGTTACATTCTCTCTAAAACAGAGGTTAGCTATTAATCTTAATAAATTACCAGTTTTTTAGGATGTGGATTTACAATTTTTATTATTTTTTTAATGCTTTCTCGCTGTAACAGTTATTTTAGCCATCACTGTTAACTGACCAATCATGGAGTTCTATGCCATTATTTAAAAGTATACCTATTCTGGGGAGCTCTTGTGGCCTAGTGACAAGAATCTGTACTGCAATCCCAAAGGTGCACTGTTCGAATCCACCAGATCCTTTGCTAGAGGAGGAGGGGCAAACTCCTGTGCCAGTCAGATCAAATTTGACGGTACACTAAATTATAAATAAATAAATATATTTTTTTTTAAAGTGTAACTATTCCTTTTCAAGATGATTGTCATTTTATTAATTTGTTGTTTTTAAGTGTTACTAATTATTTGGTTGATATTAAAAATGTTGATTTTTTTTTTGACAGATTCACCTGTTAATTTTTGTTTACAGTCATGCGTCAATAATAAGAAACTTGAGGTAAGCTTTTACATATTATCAATTTTATAGTATGCTACATTGGAGCCCCTTTTTGGTTCAGGCAGTTAAGATGTTTATCTGCTAATTAAAGGATCAAAGGTATGAGTCCATCCAAGATACATCAGAAGAAAAGTCTGATGATCTTGTAAAACAGCCATTAGAACATGTTCTGCTCTGACATGCGCAGGTCCACCAGTTGATGGAATCACCTGACAATAGCTGTTAGGAGGGCAGTGATAAGGGAGCACAAGTTTGATTTTCATTTTGTTTTTGTTAATGATGTTGTTGTTGTTGTTATGTGCCGTCGAGTCGCCTGCGACTCATAGCGACCCTATGTACAACAGCCCTAAACTCCGCTCTGTCCTGAGCCAATCGTACTGTCTCTGACACTCCCATCCCAATTATCCCAATCACTGAATCAATCCACCTCATAGAGGGCCTTCGTCTCCTGCGCCGTCCCTCCATCCTCCCAAGCATGATGTCCCTCTCCAAGGACCGGTCTCTCCTCACTACATGTCCGAAGTAAGTTAGACGGAGCCTCAGAATCCTTGCCTCCAAGGAGCCACCTGGTTTAACCCTCTCCAGGACAAATCTATTTGTTTTCCTAGCAGTCCATGGTATTCTCAATACTCTTCTCCAGCACCACAGCTCAAAGGCATCAGTTCTCCTTCTATCCTCCTTGGTCATTGTCCAACTCTCTGATGCATAACAGGTGATTGCGAAGACCATGGCCTGTATCAGACGCACCTTAGTCTCCAGAGAGACACCACTGCTCTTCGGCACTTTGGTAATGATAGACATCATCTACTTATAAATACAGGCATACTTCACGTTTTTGCACTTCACCCGATACTGTTTTTACAAATTGGAGGTTTATAGCAATCAAATGAATTCCAAGGTTGAAGGCAGTTGGCTCCATGTTCCTTGCTTTGCTCTACTTTGCTTTGTGTTAGCACCACAAAAGCTAAAATTTTAATTACTATATCCTGAGTGCCTGAGATAGTTCCTTTGCTGCAACTCAGTATTTTCATTTATAGGCCACTCAGATCTATTTTCTTTTCTTTTCTTTTTTCTTTTTTTTAATGGATGGGCTTGATTTTTAATTCTGGGTAAATTGAAAAAAAAAGGCAACTTGATTAGTTTTACTAAGGTTATATAACCCTTTCCCTGATAATTCACTCCTGGGAGCAAGGTCTGATAAGGTACTCAAAACAATGAGAATCTAAATAATTTAGAGTGTTGCACTGTAATAAGTGTAACCATTACCAGGAACATTATATAGATATTGTTGAATGGGTGCAAAAATACAATATATATTTAAAAAAATTCCTTAGTACTGAAGAGGGTCAGAGGGAAGGGGAATGGTGACTTAGGGTTTACAGTATTGAGTTTTTGGTTGTGGTGATAACATTTCAAGAGTGGATACTAGTGATGAGCCTATGGTATGGTGAATGTAATTAATGTCAGTAAATGATGCACTTTAAAATGACTAAATGACAGATGTTTATTGTATGTTTTACCACAATATAATTTAAAATTTAAGGGAAGGAAGTAATGTAAAAGCATGAAAGAAAAATTACTTTCATGGCTGGGATCCTGAGCCAAATCCTGTCACCTTTTTGTTTTTGCAAATTACATTTTTCTGGAACATAGCCACGCCTACTTGATTTTGAGTGGTTTGTAGTGTAGTCTGTAGGGAGTTTTGCTGTTAACCCAAAGGTGGTGCCTCTCTGACAGTTTGAATTTACCAGTGGTGGCTCCTTGGGAGAATCATGACCAGTTTCAGCAGTGAATTTGAGCTTTCTCCTTTTGTACTATAAAAGAACGCTAGTGGCTCAGTGCATTATATGTCGTTGTATCATAGTATTGACTCCGGCTCATAGTGACCCTATCTATGTACAACATCTCTGAACCTTGTTTTATCTTGAGCCAATTTCATTGTCTCTGACACACCTGCCTCCATTCCTCCAGTTACTGAGTCAATCCATCTCATCTAAGGCTTTCCTTTCTTGTGCTGTTCCTCTGCCCTTCCAAGCATGATATTCTTCTCCCAAGCCTGATCACTCCTTGCAGTATACCCAGAGTATATCAGAGGAGCTTCAGAATCCTTGCCTCCAAGGAGGAGCCTGGTTTCACCCTCTCTAGGACAGACCTATTCAGTACTCTTCTCCAGCACCACAGCTCAAAGGCATTGATTCCTCTATCATCCTTAGTCATTGTCCAGCTCTTGAGTGAATAGCAAGTAATTGTGAAGACCATGGCCTGGATCAGGTGCACTTTAGTCTCTAGACTGACATCATTGCTGTCCAGCACTCTGGGGAGGTCCCTAACAGCAGACTTTCCGAATGCAGTTCATCTTTTGATTTTTCTGGCTGCTAATACCAAGAGTGTTGATTGTGGAGCCAAGCAAGCAGAAGCTGTTAACAATCTCAAATCTTGTCACCATCTATTATGATGCTGCTAATTGGCCCCTTGGTGAGAATTTTTGTTTTCTTGATGTTAAGCTTCAATCCATTTTGAAGGCTGTAGTCCTTGACCTTCTGCAGCAAATGTCTCAAGCCTTCCTTAGTTTTGGCAAGCAAGGCTTTATCAACTGCATAATGCAGGTTGTTGATGAGTCTTCCTCAGATCTGTTTTTCTAATCCAGAAATCTTCGATTGGCTTAAATCCATCAGAGACTTCTCTGCATAATGATGGGCAGTCTTCTCCTAAAAAGATGTATAGATTTGGAAACTTGGTAGTGTCACATTGAGTCAGAATGGAGTCAAATCGTGCTTTTTGTCATTTGTGCTATAATCATAGAGCTGGAATGCTGCTTGCAAAAATAGAAATGTTTGTTACCTGGCCCTGTACAGAAAATACTAGCTGAAAATTTTATTCAACATATGTAGCAATAATTATTTTCAAGTGTGAAGTGGGTTTTAGAGGATGCTTTCTTTTGTTATTAGATGCCTTTGAGTTGACACCGACTTATTGCAACCCTATATATAGTACATAAAAACCTGCACCATCCTTACAATATCTGCTGTACTTAAGGCCATTCTGTAGTCATTGTGCCATTCCATCTCTTTAAGGGTCTTACTTTCCTCTGATCCTTCACTTTTTCCACATATGATGCTCTCCTCACAGATTGGCTTCTCATATCTTGGCTCATATTGGCTCTCTGGACAACTCATGTGAGGCAAGTCTCACTATCCTTTAAGTAGCTCCCTGGCTGTACTCTCTGAGGACAGTTTTGCTTGTTCCCTTGGTGGTCCATCATGAAACACTCTTAGCCAGTCCGTTTCTAGAGCATCAGTGATTTCACAGGACAGCACTCTCCCAGTTCCTCTCTGTGTTCCATGTGTTCTTCTTTCCTGTCTCTTCATGCTTTCAAGCTTTATCCTTGGGCACATGTTGCCTCTTTGATCTTGTGTGAGTGATTTTTCTAAAGTTCATTCCTTCCTTGTGTTTTTACCACCTTATTTGCCTTCAAAGTTGAGTCAGAGGGATGGATTCTTTTCAAGCCTTGAGGGATAATTGAGGTCATGGTCTTAGGGTTCCTATGGTTTTTATCAGTCAGGTAGCCTGTTTTTTCTGTGTGTGTGAGTGATTTTGAGTTTGTTTCAGGTTTCCCCCCTTATCATTATGTTTTATATAATTAGTACCATTGATCCATGCCTACAATTCCCCTACCTTTTCAGGTCACCACTAGATCTTTCCTAATTCCTTCACCCTCTCCCTCTGACCACCAAACTCTGTGACCTTGAGATTTCCCCCACCCCTCATTTAGCCTCTCTCTTCTTTCCCCTCCCCCTTTGGACTTTTGTACAAATCTTACTAGTTATCCTTCTGTTTTTACAATAATGGGCTTATGCAGTATTTGCCCTTGTGAGAATGAGTTAGTTCACTCAGTATAATTCTCTGTAACCTCTCCCATGTTATATAGTATTTTTCAAAATCATTGCACCTGATTGCTGCATTGTATTCCTTGTGTGAATATACCACAATTTCTTAATCCATTTATTTGTTGATAGACATTTTGTCTGTTTCCCTTTTTTTCTATTTTGAATAATGCTGCTATGAACATTGGTGTACAAATTTCTGTGCCCCAGTTCTGTTTTCCTCGAGGTATCCTCCTAGCAGTGGAATAGGTAGGTCATGGAATTTCTGTGTTCAGCTATTTTTAGGAAATGCCAACTGCCTTCCAAAGTGTACCATTTTACAATCCCACGAACAATGTCTAAGAGTTCCTATCTCATCACGTCTTCTCCAGCATTTATTACTTTCTATCCTGCTAAACTTTGCCACTGTTACTGGGGTGAGATGAAATCTCATTGTGGTTTTGATTTGCATCTCTCTTATTGCCTGTGATTCTTAAGCATCTCTTCATTTGTCTCTTCGCCATCCAGATATCTTCCTCTGTGACAAGTCTATGTCTTTGCTTTTTGTATTTGGGTCTTTTTCTTGTGGAGGTCCTATAGGATTGTGTAAGCATTCATTATGAGACCCTTGTCTGAGATGTCTTTGTCAAAGGTTTTATTCCCACCACTCAGTAGGTTTTCTTTCACCCTATTGCAAAAAATTTTTAATACACACAGTGACTTAATTTTTAGAATGTCCCATTCATCAATGTTATCCTTTCCTAGTTGTGCATGATTTTGAGTTTTGTTCTACATTTTTTTCCTCCTTTATCAGGGACCATCCACTCTGATTACTTCAAGATAGATCAGCAGTGATGGCCAGACATCTTCATTGATCTTGTGATTGTGGAGACAGAAGTTTTTGTGGACCAAAGGGCTAAATTTTTATTTTCTATACTCTTCTTTTCTCTAGACAAGGAGAGATCAGTAGTTGTACTTTAGATGACCACTTGAAAGTTTTCAAGGCTCTTGTGGCTACTCTCCAAAGTAGGATGTAGGGCTTTGACTTTGTGGACTATATTGTGGCACTTGACGTTGATGTTCCCTGCACTGGTGGTAATGTTTCCTCTACTATATACATGAGACTATTTAAAACAGAAATACCTAAAGCAGGCATACTGCAGGCCACCATTTATGGTCATGAGTATAGTTTCAGTCACCTACTTGACTTTTTTAGCTTTTGGCTGGCAGCAGGATGGTGAGTATACTTGTTTTGAACCTGACAAAGGAAACCATCATTGAGAGGGATTAACATCAAAACCACAAGAGTGGGTGAGAACACACTAGTGATCCTGAAGGTGGCACAGGACTGGCCTTTGTTTTGTTGTGAGTTTTGGTTGCTTTGAGTTAAAGCTGACTTGATTGTAACTGGGTCCAGTCCTGGCAGCCATGTGTTTTTGTAGGTGTCATCTAAACTATAGAAGCTATATTACTTTATTAGAATAGAGATTTCTAGGCTTTCTCTAGTTTACTTGCCATGTTGTTGTTGTTAAGGTGTCATTGAGTCAATACGACTATGTGACCAATGGATGGAAATCTTGCTCCATTCTGCATCATCCTCACAAGCTCTGCCATATTTGCAATCACCAAGTCAGTCCATCTCCTCTAAGATCATCTTTTCTCGAACTCAACCTCTACTTTTTCCAGCATGAAGTCTTTCCAAGGACTGACCCTTCCTCACAATGTATCCAAAGTACAATAAGTGATGTTTCATCATCTTTGTCTCTTAAGGAGCATGTTGGTTGCACTGTCGCCAAAAGAGATTTATATATTCTTTTGGCTATCTATGTTCAGTACTTTCCACCATCAGTACAATTCACAAACATCAATTCTTCCCTAAAACATTGAAAATATCATGTCTTGGATCATACACAGTGTTTAAGATGACTCTGTTTGAAATAGCTCTTTAGCACGCTAGAGAGGTCTTTGACAGCAGATTATCCCATTGTAACGTCTTTTGATTTCTTCATTGCTACTGCCCTGGATGTTGATTGTGGATCTAAGTAAAATGAAATCTTTGGCCACTTCGGTCTGATTGTGAAGACTTTGGTTTTCTTGATGTTGAAATACAACGCATATAAAAGGCTGTAGGTTTTAATCTTCAGTAAGTACTTCATGTCTTCTTTCCACAAGTATAAGTTCACGTTAACTTGTCAAGGGACCAAAAACTAGAAAAGTGGATGGATATCTCATAGTAGACACAACCAGAAAGGTTTTAACTGTTATTCTTTCGCATTAAAATTTTTTTTTTTTTACAGTTCAAGATACCACATATTCTATTGTTGTCACCATTTTATCTTGGTCTCTTTGACCATGTGGTTTTAAGGACAGTAGGCACCAGTAAAAACCCCTTGGTGTTTTAGGTATCTGAGGAAGATAGGGTAGCACTGTTTCGGTTTTTTTTTTATGTTAATTCTTTTTTGTTGTTGTTGTTGGGTTTGGTTTTTTTTTAGCACTGTTTTTTAAAACTGTGCAATAGCTAGAAACTTTGTGCCTTTACCTTAGGCAACAGTATATTATACTGTACAACCATTAGATTACTGTTATTAAGTAGTACTAGTATATGTTTCAATATGTTGTTGTTCGATGCCTCCTGTTACCCATGACTCAGTGACTCGGTGGTAATAGATCTGAAGCTTGTTCTACCCTGTGCCATCCTCATCATCACTGACATATTTGCTGAGCCCATTGCTGTAGGTACTGTGTTAGTCTATCTAGTTGAGTGTCTTTCTCTCTTTCGCTGTTCTGCCACCTTTCCAAGCATGATGTCCCTTTCCAAGGAATCGTCCTTCCTAACAACATGCCCATAGCATGTGAGATGAAGCTTTGCCATATTTACCTACAAGTAGCACTCTGGCTGCACTGTTTCTAAGAAATATCTGTTTGTTCTTTTGGTAGTCCCTGGGATGTTCAATAATCTTCTCAAACATCACAGCTCAAAGGTATCATATTTAGTTAAAATTTTCATTTGCTTACTATAATTGGCACTTGGAGGAAATAAACTATTTTTACTATGACTCTTGAATGCCCTGGCAAGTTAGAGTCCCCAAAGGTAGTTTCCTGATAGAAGATTGTTGTTGTTATGTGCCGTCGAGTCGCCTGCGACTCAGCGACCCTATGTACAACGGCCCTAAACTCCGCTCTGTCCTGTGCCAATCGCACTGTCTCTGACACTCTCATCCCAATTATCCCAGTCACTGAATCAATCCACCTCATAGAGGGC